AAACATCATTTATTCAAAAAACGAAAAGAAAAACATAAATCATAGCACCCACTCCAGCAGCACATTTTTTGAAATGAGGCTGTGTATTTTTAACTTTAAATAAACTCACTAAGTTGCGTGCCAAAAGAGAATGGGAAAAAACTAGCATGCCACCAATACACTATTGTGTGACTTGTGTGACAATTCCTAAGGGAAAGAGACCCAAGTGATCCAATGATGCAGTTTTATGGTGAATAAATAAGCTGAAGAGAGTAAGAATGCCTCCAAAACAAAAACTAACCCAAAAATCTGACATGAATCATTATTTGTAGTGATTAATATGGCAGTGAGGGGGAAAACTGCATGCTGGCCAGGTGTCTTGGAGGGTTGTGCTCCCTGGGAGTACAAGTCCATTCTTGTCCTGGTTTTCAGCTTGGATGGAGTTAATGTTCTTCCTTCTTCAGGAGTGCTGCCTCCCACAGCAGCTCATCTCTACATGCACAGAAATTAATTAGTGCTGAAGTTCTGTATTGGTTGCAAGAAAAGAGCTGCAGGACTTTCTTAATCTTATCAAGCAATCACATAAATCTGAGTGGTGGGAGACTTGAGTATAATCATTGCAACACATTGTAAGTGTGCACACATTGCAGTCAGTTTAGGAAATTCATTTCCAGTTTGTCTGATCTGCGCTGATGAATCTCTTTAAACTTGTGACACTTGAAAATATTTTCAATACACAGTGATAAAAAACAGACCACTTTTTTCTAAACCATCTGACTTGTACTTCTTTAACCATATAGACTAAATCTTCCTTGACAAAAAGAGCAATTTTTTTGTGGTCCTTCTTCAAATTCCTGAGTAATTACTGTTATGTACTGTAATGTGGAATTTTTTGATATTTCTGAGGATGATGTATGTATCCTCAGATTCCTTGCCAACACTTTATCTTGTAAAAGACAGTTTTTCTAGATTGATTTGCTACAGTTGTCCTATTGTAGCTAAGAGCCTCTGAGGCTGGGCCTTAATTTAAGTGTTCAAAAGATTATAATTATGGTGAGAGAACTCACAGCTATGACTTAGCAAGACCTTTTTGTTTCTAGACCTTGTCACAGCCTCTCTTAATGCAGTGGACTTTAAGAATCTTGCCTCTAGCTGGAATTTCTTTAATCCTACCAGACTTGGAGAATGGTGATGGTTAACATGCATTTTTTTGTAAAAGGCCTTTGCTTTCAGGATTCCAGGAAAATTAACCTTCTGTCCTTTTCAATATTATTGGCAAAAATATGTTGATGACCTTTAGCTAAATAGATTTTTAACTGATTTATTACTACTAAAATGTCAGAATGCTTACAAGAAATCAGTCCTTGCATTAAGAACATCTGGTTCAAACCAAACAAAGGGAGGATCGAAAAGAAGATTGTGAAGAAAAAGGTAAATATTCCACTGATAGAGCTTCCATTTGTCAGAGTGCTGTGGAATTCTGGGATGCTCCTGAGTTCACTATAAAGCTTATATAACCATGCTCAGTTTCTTCTACTGCATCTGACCCGGGGTCTCTGAGACACTGATGGACCTGCAGCCCAGGGTGAAAAAGGTACATCAGAGCCAAGACTAAAGGAGATATTCTAAGATGTGCTTTGTTTACAAAAGATAGCTCTAGTGGAGACCAGGCAGATCCAGAGCCTGGCACTCCCCAAGAAACATTGGAAGATATAACATTTTTTTAATCTTTCTCTAAACATGTAATATTTTTCTGTTCTGTGGCCCAAATGGGGAAAAAGAGCAGTATATTTTTAGTGACCAAAGTCTTCTAGGAAGAGCTTTTCCTCTGAAAAAAAAAAATCACCAGAGAATCCCTGAGCTATGCTAACCAAAGGCTTTTACATGGAAGATGTTCAGCCTTCAATAAGGTTAATAGATTACTGAAACAGAATTGCAGGTGCATTAAAAGGTGCAATTGCAGATTTTCAAAATTGCAGAAAAAACCTTTATTTTGCTGGAGGTTTGAAATGAGTGGGTAGGCACATGCCAACACAACCCCATCAGTGGGTTAAACTAAACTACACTTGAAAGTCAGCTCTTCATCTGGTCATTGAACTCACTTTCTGCATGTTACAGACAAATGATAAGTTTTATAGCTCACATCTTTAAAATTCTTTCCAAATTCCTGTAAAAGTCCACCAGCCATTTCGCAGATTGAATAAGCGCCGTCCATTTCTATTTTCTGCCTTTTTAGCTTGCTTATCTTCTTTGTATGTTTTTGCAACACAGCTTTTTGGATGGGATTGTTTTTCCATTTAAAACCTAGAAAACAGTGTGAAAATTAAAGCACAATGTTAATATTGTGTAAGATGAAGATATCTATAGTTATTGGGGGGAAAAAAGAGCTCGTTAGGATATGTATTGAACTTTTCTGTTGCCTTTCACCTGAGGTACTGCACAACATTGCTTTGACTTGCTACCTCCTGAGGTCCTACAGGTGGCCCAGATTAAGTAACAACTTGGTTGATATTTGAACAGAAATATTTCTGATGAAGACCTGTAAACCAAAATAAAGTTCATTAGAAATGAGGCCTAACAAATGGCACACATTGCAACAGTTTTAAAAGGATATGGAAAAGAAAGTTAAATGAAAGGAAGGTTGAAAATATAATACACAGCTAGCTACAAGGGAAAGAAAACACTGAAGTAAGAAGTGGAAATTACAGTATACAGACACAGTAAACTACCTAACAAGTCTGAGAGAGCTACAGCAGAGGAAATGAACTGATACAGTGCCAGAATACTGTTATGTTCTTAATTAGAGGATGAGGAAACCATGGGTAATGTGAAACAAAGTTGTGTCAGGTGGGCCTTATTATATGGCTGAGATAGAAGAATGGATGGTGAAGTTTACTGGATTAATGGTTTTCTATACAAACTCTCTTCAGTATTGCTTTACTGTTTTTAGAAAATGTGGTACAGGGTGGGCTGTGACTCCATACTAAAGCAAGCAGAAGTGAGGAGAGAAGCAGTATTTCTCCTTCATTTCTTTAATATAAAGCAAGAAAGCTGCATGCAGATAGAAAAACTTAGTGAGAAAGAAGAAATTACGAGTAGGAGATGCCCCAGAGAGCAGAATACTTCTGGACAAAACTAAGGAATTGGCAAATAGTAGAGCGCATTAAATAGTAAAGGATTTAAAGAGCAAGTGATGTATTTCTCTACCACTGACATAATTATGAAATAACTAAACAGCATGAATTTTTCTGCTTTTCTCATTTAGCTTATGTTACATGACTGTGGGGTAGTTAATTGACTCTTGTGAAAGACAGATCTTGTCACTGCTTGTGGAAAAAAGGTGGAATTTTAGTACATTAATATATAATAGAAAATCTTAAAAGAACAATGTTCTCAGTACAGAAAAATCCTGTTTATTTTTGTAGGACTAGTGTATGTGTTCTGGATGATACACTGGGAACAATACAGTGCTTTTCTTCGTTCTTTTTTCATCTGCATGAGAAAGGTGATCCTTCAGGTTCTTGATCATCAGGAAACCTTTTTCTGATGATCTTTCTAATGCTTACAGCTGAAAGTTCCCATAGTTGGGGAAATAATACGCAGTGTTTCTGAGAGAATTCTGATGAAGGCAGTAGGGCTGTAGCTCTTCATGGTCAAAACACTGATGCTAATGCTGATGGGAGCAAGTTGTGAGCATTCCAAAGTGTGTATATACAACTTTTATCTGATCCTGGTCACATGGCAAGGGCAAGGCTCAGAGGGCACATAGTCCTTGTGTGGTAGTGAGAGAAGTGAAAGTACTGTCACAATACTGAAGGAAATAAGAAGCAAGAACATGTTCAGCTTCACTGATTTTTTTTTTTTTTCCCCAAATAAAGGTGAAAGGCACAAGACAATCTTTGGTTATAGCAGGTGCAAAAATACGTCATCAAGTCCCGTGTTGAGATGAAACTTTTATCTATGTAAAACAGATGTGAGATGCTTTCAGTTTATTTTGTTGATGAAATCTGTTTGTACCATCTTTCAAAAAATGTATCCTGATATAAGTCAATGTGTAAAACTTGTATTAGTAAGTTCTGAAGGCAAGATCTTGGCAACACTTTTTCACATTTGCGAGTAATACCAACCATACTGCCTGGCACCAGGGAGAGATTTTAGCTCATTACCCAACCGTTCCCTGCCCAGAATCTCTGAGGTGAATAACACTGTGCACATTCAATGACTTATAATGAAATATCAATCACTTAAAATACATAAAATCATGGAAAGATCCTAGGGAGGAGGCTATTGCTGCAGAGGGTGAGATTGTAAAGGCTGAGAGAACTGTCCCATTTATGATCCAGTTATCTAAAACCAGAAAATCTCTTGCATCTTCTGTTGTTTTGATTTTTATGAAGGAAATAGGTATTTTGGGGAATGTACTTTGTTTTCTAACATGTGGATCTTAACCTGCTCAGAGGTTCTATTTAGCACTACTAAGTAGTGGGGGGAAACAGTTATGACAATTTAATTTGGTCTCAAACTGGATTTTTATAAATGCTGTAGGAAGTTGGGGAACAATGCATAGATTGCATCAAATATTTTATACAAATATTGCCAATTCCATTTCTGGACTCAAATATCCATTTGAATGTTTGAAAATGCTGCGCTAGGTAGACTACATGGATCTTGTCCAAAATAATAGAAGTAGTTATGTTTTTGAATATTGAAACTGAACTGATATTTTTCAATACTAAAATTTTCTGTCCCTGGGATTTGATAGCTTACATAGGGTTCATGCAAAGATTTGATTCTTCTAATAGACTTTAAAGGGTGGTTTTATACAATATGTTGCAGGTATTGCTAAGTCTGTCTTGGTAATCTTTCAAAGAATAAAAAGCCATCTTGGTGTTTCTACCAGAGAGAAAATAATTAACCAAAAATAAACTTAGTCTAAAGAAGACAATTTCTTTCTGTACTTTCTTTTTTCCTGAAAGTCTAACTTTTTTTTTTTTTCCCTAATACTGTTTCTTCGGCATCAGTTCTGTTGGGAGAATCCATTACTGCACATAGGAAGCAGTTTTGAAAGAAGGTAAGAGTACGTGGCACAATATCACTCACCTGTTTGGGACAATAGCACTCACCTGTTTGTATATCAATGCTGTAACACCACTGGAAGATACAATATGAGAAGGGTCATCTTATTACAAATAATATGCTGTTTGTTAAACTGGATTTCACTTAATAGTGGATTTTGCTTTAGAGGCAAGTGCTCGTGACACAGACCATAGGCTGCCATTTTTATGAAATCTTAACAGAATGGGGCATTACTGTGAGTGAGGAAGGGAAAGCTTTTTCCCCTCCCACCCAGCTGTTCATCTTGGCAGAAATCATTAGAGAATTTTTGCTTCTACTTGTTCTGGAAATAAATATGGGAGCTCAGGCTATAGAGCAGTGAATTTAACATCAGTTAAAGTGCTCATCAGCACTGAATTTGCTCAGACTTGCAGGTTGTGACAAACAGACTTGGAAAGGATTAACCATTACCAGGACTAGAAGAATCTTTTCACATAGTGAAAACTACAGTTAGTTTTTGAGAATTGCAGAAAATGCGTTTGATGTGTGTAAATGAATGAAGTACATTATGTAGCCTTCCATGTTTAATACTCCTGTTTGGAGTTCTAGAAAATAAATAGTATTTCTTAAAGCTTAGGATTTTAATTTTAGGTGTGGGATTTAGCTCTAGTGAATAGGATTTCAGTTTCTCTGACATTTTCTTTGGCCTTGGTTCTGGTGTTGTCTCTGTGCTCTCAAGGTGTTCACTCCAGTCTGTTGCACTTGCCACTTCTGAACATGATTTAAAACTATTAGTGAAGCAACCTGATTGCTACATAATCCACAACTCGTAACAACTTGCCAACTGATAACATAGGTGTTGAGCTATGTCTGTACTTATTTGATTTTACACTTATGCTGATGTAAATAGTTTTAGGATGGAGAGAGCTTCATAGTAACAACAGGGAGCATTTTAGTTTGCATTTCCAAGGGGTGGAACAGTCAAGTGTATCAGTAAGATACCAAGCGAGTTGGCTTTAGGTCTGAGGCCTAGGTAGGTTCTAAACTTTAAACTTGGTAAGAGGAGTGTGATAATTTGTTACACCTGAGGGAGGATGAACTTGGTCTCTATGAAATGGAATCAAGTGGATAATAAACCACCATAAACCATAAGGATGGCAACAATTCCTGTAATTGATAGAAGCTTTGTGGCAAAAAAGTCGTATAGCCTGAAACTGTTCCACTTTACTTTGGTTTAGGATGTTTTACCACAGCAGCTGAAGCGACAGCAGCTCTGTAGTTTGCCATCCTGGTGAAGTCAAAGAGCATTTTGTGTGATACTGTGCTGAAGGTAGCAGATGTCATGTCACATATCTCCTAAATAGTGAAGATGTTTGGTGAAAGGTTATCTGGCAAAGAGCATCTTTCCTGAGAGTGGATTGTGGCCTTCTGTGACTGAAAAAAAGGACTTATGAGGAAACAGCTGAAATGAAAATGGCAGCATATAAGTAATCTGTGGTGCAATTGCTCCCATGCAGGCATCAGCCTGTAGTGCCTCTAAATTCGTCTGGTCCGAACCACAAGGTATCACGAGTCTGCTTGTTTCATGCAAATCAAATAAATGATTATAGGAAGAATGGAATTTCCTCAGGCGTGTAAGGATATATGTTTTTAATGAGCCATCTATCCTTATGTCCGCTTGTATCAGGATATAACTCAATAATTTTTGCCATGCTGCAGGGAAGGGCATTCCTTTGCTCTGGATGAGGAACCATTGCACCTTTTCAGATCTTCTGTCATGGACTGTTCTGTTGGCATCCATTGTGCTGCTTGTAGATTTATTCTTGAATTATTCTATAGTATTAAAATTATTTAATATTGTGCTGTTTCTATTAAGCTTTTACATTAGACCTGGATTCTTTTTAAACTTCCCCATAGCACCAGTTATATAGATAACTTTTTTTTTTTTTTAGTGATAAAACAGACTTCAAACTCAAACAGCTGAAATATGGTTTAATTTCTGCTGTCTCCTGTATTTCAATAATGTGCTTCTGTAGTGTTTTAAGTCATCTTCATGAATACTTTGTTACACCCTTGCCCTTGGAGGGAGATCAGTTCTGGGAGGAAATTATAAAACAGTGTCATGAATTGATTTTATTCATTTGTCTTTCAGATTTTTTTCCAGCTGGTACCTATTGTTCTAATGTGGGATAGCTTAAATGTACACGTTTGATCTGTTATTAATCTATCAAGTAGCAAGATCAATTTTATACCTGAAAAGCATAGGAAAACAGGTTTTTTTTTACTGAACTACACAGATAAGTCTGAGTTGTCCTTGAAGGATATGCCAATTGAGACACTGCTTATTAAAAACGCAACAGTAAGCGTATCCTTACTGTTGACTTTTTAACAAGCAGTGAAAAACTAGGTGAACTGGAGTAGCTTGAAATCGAGCACACACAGAACTGTCGTTTTTACACAGGAGCGTTTTCCCTTTTTGTAAGCACAGGAGGTGTCAGCGTGACACGGCGTTTAGTCCTTGAGCGCTTTGCGGAGGGCGGATCAATGACAGGCCGGGTGAGTGACAGGCAGTGGGGGCGCCCGAGCCGGTTTCCCGCAGGGCGGGTTCGGTGTCTCTGCGCTCGGATGCGGAACCGGGGGGCTGGGCCGGGCCGGGCCGGGTTGGGGTTAGGCTGGGCCGGGCCAGGTTAGGGCTAGGCCGGGCCGGGCCGGGTTAGGGTTAGGCCGGGCCGGGCCGGGCCGGGTGAGGCCGGGCCGGGCCGGGTTAGGGTTAGGCTGGGCCGGGCCGGGCCGGGTTAGGCTGGGCCGGGCCGGGCCGGGTTAGGGTTAGGCTGGGCCGGGCCGGGCCGGGTTAGGGTTAGGCTGGGCCGGGCCGGGTGAGGCCGGGCCGGGCGGGGCGGGGCGGGGCGGGGGCAGGCGCTGCCGCCATTGGCTGGGGTGCGCGCGGCCGCACGTGACCGGCGGGGCCGCGCCGTGCGCGCGGCGCTGGCGCAGCCGGTGGCGCGGGCGGGGCCGGGCCGGGCGCGGGCGCCGCGCGGGGATGGAGGAGCCGCGGCCGCGGCCATGGGGTGAGTGCGGCGGCGCGGCGGTAACGCGGCTCCAGAAAAACAAACGACAAAAAAAAGGGGTGCGAGAAAGGGCTGCGACGCCGTGGGAGCGCCGAAGCCGGGGAGCCGGGCGGGCGGGACCGAGCGCGGCGCTGCAGCCGGAGGCACAAAGCCCCGCGGGGGCCGGCGGGGAGCGGGAGGAGGAAGAAGGAGGAGAGCGGGGCTCGGCGTCGGGGTCTGGGGCGGGAGGTGCCCCCGGGGGACGCTGGCCGGCGGTGGCAGCGTCCCGGCTTTGTTCGGTGCTGCAGCGCGGGGGCCGCGGGTGGGCGGGCGGGCGGCAGCGCCCGCGGATCCGCTGACTTCGCGCGGGTTGGTTTAACATCACAAAGGGGCGGCGGGGTCCGCGGCTCGGCCTCAGTGCTGTGAGAAATCTTGATACATTATGTATGAAGCTGTGGGTCCTTTCTTCCCCTTTGTCAGATACGCAGCTTTTATTCTAGTAATTAGGTCATTGCCGGCAGAACGCTCCTTGCGTTTAGCAAAAAAAAAAAAAGTGTGGCGATTTTTGGAGGAACGCATGTCGTGCCAGATTATTTCATCCTGTTCGTTGTTTAGGTCAAAGATATGAAATTCTTCCTGTTGACTCACATGGAGGACCTTGTCCGTGGCTGTAAGGGGCATTTTTCGTTTGATAGGATTTTCTTCACGGGAGCAGTGGGGCCCGGTTTTGGCTTGATTTGGAGAATCATACCCTGAAAAATGCCTTTTAAAGGCGTAGCAAGAAACACACAACTTCTTGGTTTGCGAAGAAGGACTTTCAATAAATTTCGGTGAATAGCACAATATAGATCTATTTCTGTTTTTAAATATTTCTTCCACCCTTTGCTGTTTGTTCTGTGGAAAAATGCTCCTTAATGTTTTTTCTACTCGTTTCTTACTGTTTAGTTCTGTGTTTTTTCTGTTATCTAATACAAGTAATAAATTTATGAATGTTTTGTCAAAATTACATTTCTTTGAAAATACATGTAAGCATATGTACTGAAAGCCATTTCCTGGAAACAGACTCTTCTGTTTTTAAGGAGCCTGGAAGTAACTGGTAAAACACTCCTTTTGCCCTCTCAGTTCTATTAAATACAGTGATGCACAAAAAAAAGATTTGATGAAGACAAGTCTGTGTTTGAATTTCTGATTTAAGTGTCCCCTCAAAACATTTTCTATGTATGCCATTATTTTTAGAATCATAGATCTCCTGTTTATCAGTGAGAGAGGCTTTGGATGATACTAAATTTTAAAAACATCATTCAAGAACTTTCCATTTCAAATAACTGGTTTCAAAAGGTAAATTGGTGATACGAGATGTTTTTCGTTGGACGTTTTGAATGTTTGTTACAGTTGCTAAAATGTTGGAACAGACAGGAGATATGGAGGTGTTTTTCTAAAGGGAAAGAAGGTGACAAAAGCACAGTCGTGATTATGATGATTGTTACTGTGATGCTTCTTCCTGTATCTTTTGAAGTCTGAAAAGAGAAGGAGTCTCAACATTGTTCTGTGTAACCAGTGGAACAGTTTCTGCAGGAAACTGTAGTCACACTCTTGAAATGGTAACTTAAATAAAAGATCGTTTCAAAATATAATGCTTTAAATTATTTATGAGTGCAGACTTTCCTAAACATCATGTCTTCTACAAAATACTCAGTTATGATGAATGTTCTAATAGATATTGTCATAGTACACTGTTGTTATGTCAGCATGGAATAATGCAGCATAAATTGGAAATGCATATGGCTAAAATTGGTTCTTTTGGTCTCTAAATTCTTATGTTGGATTTCAATATACATCTCAATATATTTGGTAAAATGTTTATTTTGATGATCTATGATTAATTCTTTTGTCATCAGTGTAATGAAATCCTGTTTAAAACAGACTATGCTGCTGATGATATCCTGTGCCAGTAAGTTATTATCAGTGA